GAAAGGCCTCAGGGAAACTTTGCATTGTGCGGAACCCTACATCCATGAAGTGGGGAGCTCGAGCAGATATGCTCCGATCCCTGTAATTAGGAGCAGTCCGATCACAGATAGACTACAGCCTACCTGTGCAAATTTATGGCTCTAGGACTGCTCTTGAACAACTTGATAAAATACAGTCCCAAGCACTAAGATTTGTCTGTGGAACCTTTAGAGCAATCCCAGTAAATGCGGCTGAAATAATGGCAAATGTAGGTCCACTAAACCTTAGGAGGGAAAGATCAGTACTGACCTGCTTTAAGCGGTATAAAAGGCTTAATGAATACCTCCCAGGTAGAAAACTAGTGGATGGTTGGAGATGCAGAAGTCGTATCCGGATGCAGTCTTTTATGCATCATGCCACTAGACCAGGGGTGGGCAAATTACGGCCCGCCGAGGAGTTTTATGCGGCCCGCCGACACCTACAGAAATCAGGTGTGCCCACAGTATATAGATATAAAAATGCAAATATTTAAAAGAAAGATATCTATATAAATTATTTAAACTGTCTCATTCTAAAAAGTTTTAAGTAAACGAAGATTATACTTATTGGCTATACATCAATGCACTCAATTCAAGACACAATGTCTGAGTGTTGGGTAGGCTTGGAACAAAATGGCAAGTGTAACAACTGATGGAGCTCGATCTTTGACTAAGAATCATAAACTTGATACAGGAAAGTTTGCACAAAGCTGCATATACTTAACTTCAAATTGCTACAATGAAGAGTATAATTAAAACTTACTAGAGCTAGGGGAGTTAACCACGGGTAGTTCTGATTTATGAATAATTAAACCCATGTATCTGCTAGCTTAGCATGGGAGAGGCATAGAAGAACAATATAAAATCTCACGGATGAAATTGTTATGTTACTTGAAGGACATTGACTGTGACTTTGTTACCAATATTTCTAATAAAGAGTGAAAGACAAAATTTCATGTTATCTACAATCATTATTGTAATTGATTGTTTACAATTTATATGTAAATGCATGTTAAAACTTTTCAAACCAGGCACTACAATTTCTACTGGCAAGCAAAAAAAAAAATAGTTTTTTGTCATTTTCCTTTGCTGAAAGGTGGAACTATCTTTAGTGAAATGATTAAAAGCACAACACTTATTAAGAGAAGCCGATTCAGCTCCAGAAGACATAACTCAAAGCAAAGAGAAGTTCCAGTCATCACTACCACGGGAGTCTTATGGGTGCCAGAAGCTGTATTTCCACACTTAAAAAACATTGCTGTTGTTCACAATATTTGGGTACACATACATCAGTTCTTCTTCTTTGTTCTCATTTTACACGTTGAAGGGTTCAGATCAGTAATCTTATATCTGAGATGAACCGGGTAGTGGTTTCTAGATCAGGCAGTTCTCCGAATAGTCTTTCGAGAGTCTTGTTCGGGTCCCTTGATGCACCATTAAAGGACATGATCAGCATTCTCTGGTGATGCTCCACAAGGGAAGACTTCGCTCGTCCCGACATTTAACTTACGGAACATACATTGTCTCATTCAGTGAGCAAGTGTTTTTTGTGGAAACTAAAAAAGTATAATCACTGCTCAATGTTGACTGACTGTAATAGGACAGCTATAGGACTCACTAGTAAGATAGTTTTACAGCTAAGAAACATTATGCACAGTGTAAGAAGTAATATACTGCACAATAAGTACACCTGTATATTTGTGGGGATATTGTGATATTAAAAGACGACAGGAATTTAAAAAAATCGTAATCCAGTGTATATATGAATTAAAAGACATTCTACACAGCAAGCTTATCTTTCTAAGATATATACACACACATATTTTTTTTTTTATCGAGGGCCGCATTAAAAAAAAGTTTAGTTTATATATATATAAAATGCGGCCCGCCATTACTAAACTTTGTTTAATGCGGCCTTCGATAAAAAAAATGTTGCCCACCCCTGCACTAGACTATCTGATAAAGCTGGCCTCTCCACCAACCGACAAAACATTCAACGTTTTTATCCCCTTACCCTTGGTGTCGCCCAACGACTCCAAACATACGCATGAAACTAGTAGACCCTAATGCCACTAAGCTAAGGCGTTCATTTAACGACCTCCAAATTCTAGCACTGGAGACCATTAATAACTTCAAGCCCAGTGCTATTTTTGCATACACTGATGGGTCTGCATCAATAGATTCTGGAAGTGCAGGCTGTGGAGCCTACATCGACTTTCTTGGCTCTTACTCATTCAAAATGTTTGGACCATGTGGTAGTGTTTGCAGTTTTGATGCAGAGACAATGGCAGTCTGTGAAGCCTTTAAAATCATTGACTCTCAACTCGGCGAGGGACATTAGAGGGCAACACAGATTGTTGTGGTCACTGACTCAAAATCTGTACTAGAGGCTTTGCAAAGCCCTGGACCGTGGCCCCCCAATATCGACATTGTCATCATGGCTTCACACAACATAAAGCAACGCTATGGCACCCCTGTAATAATGCAGTCGGTACCGAGTCACATAGATGTTACTGGCAACAGTATTACAGATTCCTTGGCTCACCAGGGAGGGCAAATTCCATCCACTGAACAGGCTGTAAGTTTTCATCATGCTCTTGCTATAATCAAAAAAATAGAAATGGAAAAGTGGTTTGCGTGCTGGGACAAGTCCCAAAAAGCCCGTGGAGTCTGGGAGCGCACTTCCCTGTCAGGCCTGAGCAAGCCATTATAGCACAGTGTAGGACAGGCCACTGTCCTGTTGGCTCATATTTCTCACGGCTATGGCCAAATTTCGATTCACGGTGCCCCCGCTGCGTGGAAGAAGAGGAAACCGTGTCTCATTTTCAGTTTGACTGCCCCAGACTTGCTGATCTCCGCCTCGACAGGTCTGGGAAACCAAAAATTCTCGACCTGTATGGTGACATATATGCACTACGCAAGACAGCAGGGTTTCTGTCGAGGGCTTTTGTGAGAGATGACTTAAGCATCTCAAGCCCTCCTTCAAATGGAGTTTAATGATTATTATTATTATTATTATTAGATAAGATAAAATAAAATAATTTGTATTGGTCCAATCAAAAGGAAACTCAGTTTGACTACAATTGACCTTGTCAGCGTAACTGATGTAATAAGGCTTGTCTTCGAGTCCGAATATTAGTGAGGAATGCAGTATTTCCCGTGGCTTCTCAGCCCCAGCTGTGACCTACATATTTTACCACTTCCAGTGCAAGCATAACCATTGTCCGCAGGTGGTTGATTTAGATTTTCTTTTCGCCGTCTGCGTCTGACCTCGGCAGCGGATTTTCTTTTGGTCTAAAATGTGTATCCCGCGGCCTTTGTGAGTGACCTCCAGCTGTCTCGTTCTGAGGCCGCATACAACCAGGTGCTCTCTTCTATTGTTATATTGTATCTACTGTAACAATAACAATATAGATGATAATACTAACAACATTCACACACGAAACACATACACACTCACAACCAGCGCTTTTATGAATTAGACTTCTATGTATTTCTCGATGACGAGAGATGACCTTGTAACACTCCAGATGAACTATAAAACTGTGTAGGGCAGTACAGACTATTAGACCAATGGGTTTTCTTTATTTGTAAAATAGTTACTTTGCTAATGATTTAAATCAAGCGTGTCAAGTGAGATCCATCAATGGAACACTGAAGTATAAATGTGTGTCGCATATGATGAGTCTAGGTATATGACATATTTACTTTCAATGTGGGTGTTTCGTTAACAAAATAGAACATTAATTCCAATCGATTCAAAAGTTGTTTACCTAAATAGAAACTCTAGATTTAGATCTATAATAGAAAGACGAGACGGGTCTTCAATAGCAAATTATAAATTTCAATTTTCTATTACATTTCTACACCGGCGCAACTATTTTTTTATCGATTACAATAAAAAATGTGTTAATTCATCTAACAGGCTGACGACAAAATGACTGATTAAATAGAAATAAAATAAAATAATAAAAGACTGACTTCATAAAAGTAAGTAGCTACAAAAAAAAAAAAGGAAAATGACAATATTTTTTAAAATAAAAAAAAAATCTGTAACGTTTTTATAAGCACGACTCTTACTGTTTAACACGCTAGCTTATAGACACCTGAGAAATGTGTCCGAATACCAATGTTTTGAAGGGGCGATATTTGAGGACTGAATTCGTTGTTTTGAATACGATATTTCAAATGTCTCCGTCAACGCGATTCTACTTTTGGTTCTTTCTCATGTCAGAACGGCGGTAGCATTTCTCCCGAGTGTCGCGTCTTTGTTCTTTTTAGTAGGAGAAAAAAATGTGCTGCAGATGCCAGGAGAGCACATTGCTGAAAGTTAGAAAGAGGGAAAGACTTGGCGCTGGGGGTTGCAACGTATTTTTGTTTTCATTAGGAAGGGGGAGTAGGTACCAAATGGTCGAAAAAAGACTGGACCAAATATTTCTACACTTAAAAAAACAACAAAATTTTAACTTCTTCAGTGGTACATACGATAATTTCTTCATTACATCAACATATAATACCAAATTTTACTTTTTATCACATTTTAAATACACTGCGCTTATTTTTAGGCACTTTTCAATACACTTATCAGATATTTTTAGCACTTGACATTTTGTAAAAATCTTGTCTTTTATACTTTGAATGTTAGTAGAGTGTGCCATATTAGGCATGCTGGAGAGGTGACGATTGAATCAAAAGTGCTTGAAATCAAATGTTACATGAAATGTTCATGAGATCTAAACCCTACCCTTACCGCCCCCTACCGATGTTATAAAGAATACGTGAAATAAAGTTTTCAGATTTTTATAATCACTATAACTAAAAACATTCGACTTGCAAATTAAAATGGACACAATATTCAATTGACATGTTATAATCATGTATTTTAATTAAAAAACAAACAAATTGACGGCAGAAAAAAAATTAAAAAAAATATAAAGGATATCTTATTAGCTTTTTGTAAATATAACTTTAACAATAAATTAGCAATGTAAAAAAAACAATTATATTTTATTTTTAAAATAAGCAAGCATTTTTACACACACTAAATCATAGCATAGGCATATTTACATCGAAAGAGTTATCCACTCTGTCGTACAGTTAGCAAATATTGTAAGCTCACTATTACAAACAAGAGAATAGGAAGTAAAAAAATTGTACAAGGCATATAGAAGGCAATACTGTCAACATACAAATAACATCCAATATTATGCCAAAACATCGCCCTGCATTCAATACACTCTTTACTATGCTCCCACCACAGCAGAAATGATTGACAGAGTTAATTTTTTTAAATACAAGGTTTGAGCTACTTACTGTTACTACGGCTCTAACAATTTTCCTAGATGTTCGCCAGTTTATTATATCTTTAGGGGGGAACAAATTACAAATTACTATTGGGATTGGCCACATAGTGAAAACTCTGGCTAGACCGTTATTTTTTTTAAAAATATAATCATCTAAAATTAAATTCGGCTTACATATATTCTTATTCTTTTAACAAAGGCCAGTTAAAATAAACAAAATAAATACATTTTAGCAGTCAAACACAAGCTAAGCTGTAATATAGTTGTCAATGGATATGTTCAGAACAACAATGTAAAACAAAAATACCAACACAGTATTCGTGTCAAGACAAGAGACGTGGGCTTCTTTGACAAGGTCTTACAAAGACAGTTCCCATTTCCAACACAGTATTCGTGTCAAGACAAGAGACGTGGACTTCTTTGACAAGCTCTTACAAAGTCAGTTCCCATTTCAAAGTAATTTAATAAAACCTAGTTGTTAAAATTTGTAATCAAATATTACAAGATGTGTCTAGAAAACACATGATGGCTAAACTTTAGGGTAAGTTCATTCACGCTTTAACATTCACATCTCTATTCTCAAATGGTAAGTGAAAGCAATGAAATGTCATTCAGTTTGTACAGATTAAACTATGAAAAAAATATCGACTTTTAATCGATGCTCAATAATAAGGTTAAAATGAATGAAGTAGTTATTGCAGTACAATATAGCAAAAACGAAAATGGGTTCTCTAGTAAAACTTACTTTACAGTACTCAATACTCAAACTTAAAGATATATTAGGTTCATTGTTCTGGATTGAGTGATACTAGTATTAAATCTATATTGCAGTGCAAAAAAAAAAGGAAAACTATACATAATAAAAAATAACACAGTTCGGTTTCATAGTTGTTCTACATTTCAATCTCACACTATTTAAGAATGTATCTATTTCAAGGTATTTCTCGTTCAGTATTCCTTGATATTCTATTCAAAGACCAGCAGCTAATGTACAGAGTTCAGTGACAACAATGGTTAGATGTTGTTTTAACTGGCTGGCTGGAAGTGATGTTTGATGTTTGCATTATCCCCAATATCTGCTGCCTTCCCATCTCAATTGTTTTAACATTTTTATGAAGATCTCCACATAAAATGTACCACAAAAAGATCAAGAAATCTCCATAATGAAACCTCTTAATATGTTGGATATCAACATTTTTTTCTTCAATAAATACTATACATTAATGTGCATATTTTTCAATATTTACATTTAGATTTAGATTAGATTTTTGACATAAGCTGATATCAATCTTCACATCCATCGTAATAATGGCAACGATTCTGTAGGGCTATTTCTCCGGGGATTAAATGTCAGAGATTTGTGTCTGTGAATAGTGAAGCTTCAGAACATATCTGATCCTCTTATTCTGGATGATGCTAAGAGATTGCTCTTTGCTCTCAATGACCTAAAAGTTCCAAACAGTTAGATTCAACTGAGTGGTGTAGTGTGGTCAGCCTCCAATGGCTGCTGGTGCTCCTCTTCGTTCCAAGCTGAGTGTTCTGATATGACCGTGGGAACAGAGTAGATTACCTTGCTAGAGCTCTTCTGCCTGCTCGTGTTGTGGTGGTGGTTCTTCGTCACGTCTGGAAGAATGATACCGTTGCTGGCTAATGTTCTAAGGGGTCTCTCGGTAGCATGTAACCAATACGTCTCCATGTAACCTTTGCCCTGCGAACAAGAAGATACCATGAAATAACTGTCGTATTTTTTGAGTCTGTCGGCGTATTCAAATAATGTCTAGCGAGTTTTCAGTTTGGAAATAAGTAAAGGAAGTATAATTGTTTTCAAGGGCATTTAATAACCCCCAAGGGAAATAAGAAATATCTTTTCATTAGATTTCCAAACAATTTAATTTGTATATTCAGATTCCCGAATGCTACAATTATTAAATTTTTATAGTGTTACACTTCTCTGCCTTGTTAATAACTCTAAACATTGAAGCAGAAAGTCTGAAACCACTAAGAATAAGGCTGAGATCTACTTCTTTGATAAATACATTCGTTAACAACATTTCTTTCTTGAATAGACAACCACGTGACCCAGATATTTATCTATATCGAAATGATTAAAGTCGAGGTTCTCAACCCCCCTTACAGACTCCACGTGCTGACAAAAGGGGGGGGGGGGGTGCCAGGCTTCATTTTCTTCATAGAGCCTCTTACATATCATATTGGTAGTAGCAAAATAAACTTGCAGTATCAAATTAAATTCTAGCAATAAAGTTCCTTTCTATTGTTAAGTCAAGGATTCAGAAACAATGAAATGTAAGTGCCATGAAAGAAAGGCAGTACTATGTAAAGATCTAGATTCAGTAGCTCGATAGTGTCAGAGAAACTCCTCATTTTGTGTGTGAGAGAGAAAGAGAGAGAGGGAGAAAGAGAGATAGAGAGAGAGAGAGAGAGAGGAGTAAATTATTTCGGGAAAAATTATCTCATGGATCTCATGTTATTGGGATCCGGGATAGATTGATTGGTCGAAAACAGGGTCAAAGACATAGAGAGATGTATTATTTTCGTCCGAGACAGAGACACATATATAGCCTTCACGATCAGGATACGAAAAAAGAACTAGAGAAAAAATAGCGAAACTAGAATCAGATCAACATAGAGTATTAAGACTCTACGTTTACTAGTCTAACTATGTCTCTACTACGGAATTAGCGATACACGAATTTCAGTTATTTTCAATTAAGATATAGACGGGAAGTTTTTTTTAATAGATTGCTTAGTTTTATTTTTTCACTGCTACTTATCCCAGGGCCTCCTTTTATCCAAGACCGGCCCTGATACAGCCATGGAGTGACATTTACATTTGCTGAAAAACAAATACAGGGGAGTGATGTTGAATTACGGTTTGGACTTTTAGTCACTGAAGTCGGCCCTATAAAAAAAACATAAAATATACTTTCTTCTTCTTCTTCTAGCCAGCTTTATTGCTGCTGAGCTGTCAGCTCTTTTGCAGACTGTGCCAAGGAAAAAAAGTGTGCTGTTTTCTTCAGTTGTTCAGCACTGCCGTACAGGGTGTTGGTTATGTTGGGCTGTAGTGAAAGTAGGGTCTGCCTAAGGTGGATTAGGGAGAAGCAATCAAAGAGGATATGGTTTACGGTTTCAAAGGGGTGGGCGCAGAGTCTGCAAAAGGGGGGGGGGGGGTAGTTGTGTGGAGTTTATTTTGTTCAAAAAAAATACTTTAAAAAAACAAAAGCTAATGTTAAGTTTAATTTTATCAATTTGTGATTAAACTTGTAATAGATCTAGACTAACAAATAAATCTGTGCGATTGGAAATTATTCACCGATTGTTTTTGTTTAGCGGAATTTCATGCTTGTAGCTTTCTCAATGCGCTATGATCCTATCACTTGTCTGGAGCAGTTGGGAAACGGCGGAGGGGGGAGAACTTATGAAAGGATATCTGCGTGAGAATGACCGTGATAACTCTTTAAATGCATTTTTAAAAAGTTGTACACTTGATTTCAAACTCAGAGCTCAAGCCTCCTCAAGGGGACAAATTCAACTTATACTACCACATCTATTGTTACGTCTTCATATTGGATGAGACTCTTTAGACGTGAAAACGACAAATCACAGTTTATAAATACTTTAATCTTTATTAACACTAAAAACACTTTCTTGTTCATTTTGGTTCTCTTCCCCTTTCAACACGCAATCGCACTATTTCATATTTACACTAAGATGCGCACGTAACCCCCCCCCCCCCCCTTTCCTGTTTTACAAGTTCGATGTACATCGAACGTCCAAAATACAAATCACTGAATATATTATCAGACTATTCCAAGTTTTAAAAAAATCTGTAACATATAAAACCATAATGTAATAACCAAACAAAATCATACACAATGTCATGTTAATACCACTACAATTGTAACACCAAATGACAATTATATTCATCACAATAATAACTGTTATTATGAGCAATTGAAACAACTTCTGTTAACATATATCTATAAGTAATCATATTTCTATTAATGATTTGCTAAATAGAATTGTATCACATTTCATTCATACAACTCTCCACTAATAATTTTATGCCTGTACAAAACACCCTCATTCCAGCCGCAATCAAATAGTAAGCAAACCAAGTCAATCTTGCTCCATGCATATTGTACCCCAACAACATGACCCAACATATAACTAACTTACAACACTCCTAATACCATAGATTTAACCCAATGCTATTTACTTCTTAGTATCATCAGGCCTATATAATAATTCCAGTCTTGACGTTTCTTTTTATGTATTTCTACCACACCATTTCGATAATTTTCTTACAAATGTAATTTAGAATAATAATAGAATAATTATAATCAAACAGAACCACACAAAATTAAATACATTGTGCAAAATCTTCGTATCTACTTTCCACTACTTATATTCTTATTACACTTCCCTATACCGCCTTTACTAAACTTCTATAATGTAGTATCCTTAACCTATATGCATATGTAACAACAATATCCAATTCATTACACATATATTTATTCATTGTAGAATAGAACAATAATTAGTACCCATCATTCCCACCTTTTCTAATAATATTTATATAATTCTAACATTATTGACATGCCATCCTTTCCGCTTCCCTCCTTTGCAATGATGTCCCATTGTGATCCCACTACCGAATGATCTAGCTGTTTCCCTCTCTTTTCTCGTATACGCCTCTCTACTATTGTAACCTTAATTCCTTAACTCTGATTAACTGTTGACACTGTCTTCTAATATGCCCCCTTCTCCCACAATTAAAGCATTAGATAGATGGACTTGTACGTCTGTGTGTGAGTTTAAATCGCTTTCCCTGTACAACTGATTGCCTTTCTTTACTTTGATTTGGACCCATTCCAATTGCATTGCTTTCTACCTTATCTGTTAATTCTTTCTTCTCGTGCTCTCTGCTAACCCTGTCGTCTGATGTATGGGATCTTATGTCTTCTTTCACATCCCCATTTCTACATCGAGTAGACTTTATCCCATAATATTTCTTCCAATTCTCAATCTCCCTTACTGAACATATTTTCACCCCCATGAATGTTCCCAATAATTAAATCTATCTCACCCTGATCTACAACACAAGCTTCCACTGTCCCCTTAAAATACGGTGTGTCTATACTAACTTTAGCAATCGGTAATTGTACAATATTCCCATTAAACATAACACACTTCCTAGATTCGCCTGTATATTCATGGTCTTCCACTAATTTCTTTTTCACTCCAATAATAGTGCTCCCTGTTTCCCTGATGGTCTTGGCTGCCTTGTTCCCTACGAATGTCTGAAAAAC